AGTTGGGGAAAAACTTCACGCTTGATGTGTAGGGAACGGATAGGGCCTCAGGGAGCCTTGAGGAATGGTTACCTGGCAAACAGAACATTGAGCAGTGATAGTTTTGAGGAGGGTCTTCAGTAGGAAAAGCAGATAAGAGGCTCAAGCAGATGAGTTAGGGGTTATAGCCTACATAAAAATTGTCAGGAATGGATGAAAGAATGGTGTGGGCCTGTGAAGTGAGGAGAAAGAATTTTCTCTCACTTAGGAAACATCCATCTTTGGCAGGGAAGTCCTGATATTGTTGAGTCTCAAAAAGGAATAGATCAGAGTGAAGCTGGAAAGGGAAAAATACTGACCCTTGGCAGGCATAGAGGGAGAGATGAACAGCTTCTTTTGCAGTTTTATCTGCAAAGGCATTCCCAGAAGCTGTAGGGTCTGAAAGTCACTTGTTTCACCTCCAGTGAAGCACAGCTACCCATGTTGGTAGGAGATTGGCCTGAAGAAGGGCTTTAATGAGTGGGGAATTAATGATTGAAGGCTTTTGAGAGGTGGGAAACCCTCTTTCTGCCCAGATAGCAGCATGATTATGTAGTGTATGAAATGAATACTTTGAGTCTGTATAGATGTTAACTTGTAAGCCCTTAGCTAGTGTAAGAGTATGGGTCAAAGCAGTTAGTTCTGTTAGTTCTGTTGAGAGGTAGCGGACAGGGGAAGAGCTGCAGGTTCTGTGATGGAGTCTTGGGAGACAATAGTGTATCTTGCCCTGGCAGGGGAAGTGGGGGTGGGCAACTCCCAGGTTGTGGTTAGGGTTGGGAAGAGGGAAGATGGAAATGTGAGGAAAAGAAGAGGCTGTTAGGTGTATCAGAGACACACAGTCATATGGTTCAGGCTTTCTAGAAAGGAGTGGTGGATTGATAAAGTGAGTGGCGAGATTAAAATCTGGGCCCAGGATGATTGTAACCATAGGAGTCTCCATGAAAAGTTCATAGAGTTGAATAAGGTAAGGGATGAAGACACAGGTCTCTGAAGGTCTTGGGAAGGGTAAAAGGTGAGTGGAGCATGTCTAGTGATTTTGAATGTTTCTAGGAGTAGCAGGGCTTCAGCAGCCAGCCTCTGACAGTGGGGTCCAGCTGTTTGGACAGAAACACAGTCAGACATGGGCTGGGATCTTGTGTCCAAACCCTTACTGCACATCTCCTGTATTCTACTGTATTAACAGTTGAAGGGTTGAGTGAAGTCTAGGAGGACCAAAGTGGGGGTTGTTTTTAGGGCCTCTTTTAAGGAGTGAAAGGATTAGTGGGGGAAGATCTTGTGATCTGTGGGCTCAGTAGCATCTCCCTTTACAAGTTTGGAGAGGAGTTTAGTGAAGAGAGAAAAGCTGGGAACCCAGAGGCAGAAATATCATTAATATGCTGAGAAAGGAAAGAAATTGTTGCTTGATAATAGGAACTGGTATCTGGGAAGTTAAGTGGATGAGATCTGGAGGTAGGCTTGGATATGTTTGTGGTGAATGATGCCCGGATAGGTGACAGATGGGGAAGAGATTTGGATCTCAGAGTGGGAGACACAATATCCCTTGGCATATAGATGCTATAGTAAAAGGTTGTCTTTATGGGACAACTCATACAAGGGGCTGCAGAGGAGGAGGTCATCTACATACTGTATAAGATGAGAGGAGGAGGGATGAAAGAGTAAATCACACATAAGGGCCTGACCAAAATAGTGGGGACTTATTCCAGAACCTCTGAGTCAAGACAGCTCAGGCAGGCTGTTGGGAACTGATGAATGTCAGGGTTTGTCCAAGTGAAGGCAAAGAGAGGCTGTGAGGAGGGGTTTAGGGGAATAGTGAAAAAGCATCTTTTAGATCTAAAACAGAGTAGTCAGTGGTGGATAAAAGGATAGAGGATAAGAATAAGGGTTTGGCATCACAGGGTTTATGGGGAGGACAGTCTGAATAATGGCACGGAGATCTTGTACCAGCCTATAAGAGCCATTTGCCCTCGGTACTGGGAGAATGGGAGTATTGTAAGGGGAATTGACAGGAATTAATAGACTGTGTTGCAATAGGTGAGAGATAACAGGTTGTAAACTCCTTAGAGTCAGGGATGGGATATTGTTGGGCTGGTAAGGATAATTAGGCTTGAGAGAGATGCTAAGAGGTTTTTGGGATGAGGCCAGGGATGGGGTAGAAATCCTAGATTTGGGTTGAGATGAAGGGAGATGGTAGCCTTGGGGCGAGGTAGGGAAGGAGAGACTAGAGCAGCTATAAGCACTGGCTATGTCCAGGGGATGGTCAGAGTGGCTGACAGCTTAGCTGAGATATCTCAACCTAAATATTGAATGGAATAGGAGGGGATAACTAATAATGAGTGTGGAAAAAGTTGTTGGCCCAGTTGACACCAAATTGGGGGCATCCTAAAATGTCTGGAGATTTTGCTGTCAGTCCTCACAACAGTAATTAGGGCCAAGAAGGTTAATCCTTGAAGGCAAGGTAAAGTGTGTAGCATCTGTGTCAAGGAAGAAAGGGATGGATTTATCCTCCACGGTAAGAGTTACCCAGAGCTCAGCCTCTGAAATGGTCCAGGAGACCTCAGTGGTCTCCAGATGGCATCAGTCCTTGGTGGCCAGGCCAAGAAGGTCTGAGAAGGAGCCAGTCAGGGGTCCTGTTTGTCATGGCCTGGGAGTGGGAGGGGCAGCTCCTAGAGCTGGACAACCTGACTTCCTGTGGGGACTCCCACAGGAAAGTCATGGCTTGGAGGGAATCCCGGGTTATGGGTATTCCCTAGCCTAGTGACCATTCAGCTGGCAGTTGAAATATGGCCCTTAGAGGGCTGGGAATTTAGCTCAGTGGTTTTGCTGCCTGCCTTGCAAGCGTAAGGACCCGAGTTCAATCCCTGGTACCAAAAAAAAAGAAATATGGCCCTGGAGGGCACCCCAGGTCTGGGGAGCCTTTGATCCTTTATTAGTTACTTTGGTAGCCAACTCTGCAGGGTTTCTTATGGCGGAGGCTGGCATCTGATGTAGCTCAGTAATGTGCTGCTGAGCACATTCATTTTGGTTATTATAAACTTTGAAAGCCAAATTTAATGGTTCTTGTGATGTTTGAGGACAAATCCCCAGTTTCTGTAGTTTTTTACAAATATCTGGGGCAGACGGAGGAATATTTTTAGTATATGTGCTGCTGAAGTGAGCACTGGACTGAGAAATAAAATGCATCTTTGAAATAAATTGACCTTCTGGGCCCTCTGGATCCAAGGTCCGTATAACACGTGAGGGCAGCAGCCAAACAGGCCATGATTTGGGCCAGAGTTTCATCCTTTGTCTGGGTGGTTTTTTTAAGTCTATCATGATTAACTGCTATATGTGCCACCTTGTGGAGTTCCTCAACTAAGCAAATAACCATATAGTTACAGCTTTTGCGAGCTGGGGATTGTCCTTTCTCATCTAGCTGGTTAAAATCCCAACAGGTTGGCTCAGGGAATTGCCACAGCACCCTCCTGAAGATTAGGCTCAAAGCATTTGTGATCATCTGTAGTGGCCTGACCCAAAGACCAAATGCATTCTCGTTCCTCAAGTGAGAGGGTTAAAGAGAGGCTAACATTTAGATCATCCCAGGTAAGGTCATAAGACTGAGTGAGATATTGGAACTCTTGAATATATCTAGTAGGATCTGTGAAAAAGGAACCTAAACATTGATTGACCTGAGAGAGATTGAACAGGGAGAAGGGAACATGAACTCAAATTATCCCCCCTGTTCCTGCCACCTCTTGAAGTGAGAATAGGGAAGCAGCGAGTAAGGCAGGGGCCCTGAACTGCAGTCCGGGCAAGTATGAGGTGGAGTTACATTGATCATAGGATATGGACAAGGGTCAGGTCCAACAGCACCGTTGGGTAGATGGAGGCTTTGGCAGGGAGATCAGCCGCAGAGGACTCAGGAACTGACTAGAAGTGACAGGCAACTCGGAGAGTGAGGGAGAGGGAGCTGCAGTGGGAGGCTCGGAGGTGGGGGGGAGCAGCAGTCCCTGTACTCACAGAAGGAGGCTATGGGGAGGGAGGAGGAGCAGTGCCTACAGCTGCAAGAGAAGGTGCTGGGAACTGCCAGGGGACAGTGAGTTCAGTTGGATCAGTTGTTAGAGAGGAGTCCTTATCACACAGAGGGGGATTAGATGGAAAGGAGAGAAGGATTTGAGAAGATTCACAGGAAGTGCACAAAGTGGGAATGTTACAAAGTATAAAGAATCCCTGAACATGGGCAACTTCTGACCATTTGCTCAGCCTCTGGCAGTAGTTGTTTAAATCCCACAGGATGGTGAAGTCAAAAGCGCCATTTCCTGGCCACTGAGAGCCATTTTCTAGTTTATATTGTGGCCATGCAGTATTACAGAAGAGTAACAGGCATTTAAACTTCAGATCAGGGTATAGGCAGAGAGATTTCAGATTCTTTAATAGACAGATCAGGCATGACAATAAGTATACTAAGTGATATGTGTACCAAATAAACGGTTTGAAATTATTTGAAAGGTTTAGAAAAATAAGTGCTGAGATTAACATGGGTATGGTGGCACATGCTTGTAGTGCCAGCTGAGGCAGGAGGATGGCTGAGAGTTCAAGGCCAGCCTGGGCTACATTGTGAGTTCAGGTCCAGCCTGGGCTACATAGCAAGGTCCTGTCCCAGAAAACAAAACAAAACTGAGAATATATCCACTGATAGAAACACAGTCACAGTAACATCTAGGTAGTACATCTGTTTCAAGTTCAGAAATCTCTGTGGTTGCATCTTTTCTGCTTAAGTATGCTAAGTTAATTTTGGAGCAAATTGGAATTTTTAATGTTGATATAACCAATTTATATTAAACATTCAAACACAAATATTGGTAAACCTTATCTTTTCATAAAGTTTTTTTGTCAGAGTTATGGTTAGATTTTTCATAAATGTCTTGAGCTGTACCTATATCTATTTTCTTGAAATTGAAAAGGAAATCTTTTGAAATAACATTTTTCCCCTGAATTTTATTTAGAGAGAATATTGGTGAAAGTATTCTTTACCTGTGGGTGGAGAAAATAAGAGATGTTCTAATGCGAAAGTCTCAGCTGACAGAACCAGGTAGGATTGAAAAAGTCCATCAGTGTCCTTTTAACTTGTAATAATTGAACTTTCATACAGATATTCTAATTGAAATTTTATATGAAAATCTGTGTGCTGGTTTAGAAGTTTTTCTGGGAAGTTCATTTATACATGTAATAATGATAATTTCTGTAAGGGTCAGTCTCTTTGGTTTCGTTTTATACTCTTACAGCATTTTATGATGAATGAAGTTGAGTCCAAAATCTGTTCTAGTTGACTGTTAAGTTAAATGAACTTTGTAAAATTCCTCATGAATCTATAAATAATCTATATAAGTTAGATATTAGCTTTAAGTGAATTTAGTATACATAGAAAAGAACTTTGATCCAGATTAAGATATTGAACTTAATTTAAAATTGACTTTTTATTGAGATGTATAATTCACATACCATAATTATTCATCCTTTTAAAGTGTACTTTTGAAGTAGTTTTTAGTATATTCCCCAATTTTTGCAACCGTTATTACTATCTAATTGTAGAATACTTGAAAATTGATATGTTGCTCTATTATTAATCTTTTATTGAGTTATTAAGTGAATGATAGTATGGAAATTTCTAATGTCTCCTATTACCTCATTTTGCTAATTTTTGTTCCACTTATACAAAGCCCTTTTAAAGAGAAAAAATCGCTCCATTTGACTGGGTAATATTTCTAATTAGTATTTTATTGTTACCACTAGTAGAATTATTTTCAGTGTGGGGTAAGAGAGATTAAAAAAGAATCCCAGTAGTTTACTTACTAATTTTTTAGAAGATTATTTATAGGGAACCAATTATTTAGGACTCCCTATCAAAATTAGTATACATTTACAGTAGATAGTAGTATATATTTTTTAGAGGATTTTGTTATGTTGCTATAGAAACATATTTGTACTGTTTCTATTAAAATCAAAAATAATATTTGTATTGCTTCTATTAAAATTAAAATGGTAATAAAAGTATTCTAGGCAACATTTTTTAAGCATTTTTCTTAACTTTTTATGATCTGTGATCTGATTTTGCTGTATTTCAAGATATCTGTGAGAAGTATACAGATTTGACTGCCTCTCAGTTTGGATTTGTCCTGTGTTTTCTAATGATTGGGGTGAGATTAGCTATTTATGGCATGGATATCACAAAAATGATAGCGTGTCATTCACAGTGCATCCTATCGAGATCACATCAGTGTACTTTATTATTGGTGATGTTTGCCTCGATCCCTTGGTTAGGGTAGAGTTACTCCTCTGTAAAGTTACTGTGTTGGGGTTTCCTAGAGAAACAGAAGGGGTATGTGTTTCTGTGTACAGGGAGAGAGATTTATTTTAAGGACTTAACTTCCAGTGGAGGCTGACAAGTCCAAAATCTGCAAGGATGGCCAGCAGGCTGGATACCCAAGGAAGAGTTCGTGTTGTGTTCTGAGCCCAAAGGTAGCCTGCTGAGAGAATGCCCTCTTACTCTAAAGAGTCTTTATGTAAGGTCTTCAACTGATTAGATGAGAGGCTCACTTATATTATGGAGGCCAAAATATTTTATTCAGAATCAGTTGATTTAAATGTTAATCTCACCTTAAAATACCTTCACAGAAACATCTAGAGTAGTATTAGACCAGTTAAACACTAGTTAATATGGGTACTGTGGCTATTACTTGGGTATAGTCTGAGTACTATGGCCTAGACAGGTTGATAGGTAAAATTATCATCACAGTTACTATTTTTCCCTTTGGATCTTGGGAAATATACTCTATTCATTTATTTTTTTTTTTTTGGTTTGTTTGTTTGTTTTGTTCTTTGAGACAGAGACTCACTTTATTTTGTAGTTCAGGCTGACCCTGAACTCACTATGTAGCCCAGTCTGGCCTCAAACTCAGCGATCCTTCTGCCTCAGCCTCCCAAGTGCTGGGATTACAGGCGTGCACCACCATGCCTGACATGTTCCTCTTTAGACTTTTGTCCACTACAGTAATTCTAGTATACTTCAGTGGGTCTTGTCAACAATACAAAGGCTGATAAAAAATACGATATGTGTTTAAGTTTAAACATTACAGTAAAAGCCACATTGCTATTAATCCCCCCATAATTCTCCATTTCACTTTGCTCACACTTGTCCCATTGTTCCTGCCACTTTCTGAAACAGTTCTGGAAGTTCCTTTTTGTGTTTTTATGTGGTGCAATAAAAAATATGGTAAATGCTGCTGCCAAGTTCCATCCTATGGAAAGAAAGGGTCATAAAAACATTATGATGTGTCCTCATCTACCTGTTTGACTGGATCCAGCACATATGACTTCTGGCTCTTCCTCAGAATTAAAAGGATCATGAAAAACAAATGTTTGGAATCAATTTGAGAAATTGAGCCAGCCACAGCTATGCAACTTAAAGACATTCTTGAATGAGAATTTCCAGAACTGCTTCAGAAAGTGACAAAAACAAGGGGATAGGTGTGTTCAAAACAAGGGGGAGTATTTTGAAGGGGATTAATGGCAATGTGTCATAATTTTTAAAAAAATTTAAATAGTCACTGTATTTTGTGATCTCACCTCATATTTATTACTGTAGTATTTGCCTACTGGTGGTTCTCCATCTCCTTCATTTTTTTCATTAGGAATCTATTGTGAGGAAGAGGAATTCTGGTTCCTTCTGTTGATGAATGGTGTTTAGAAATCAAGACCTAATCATTTTTTAGTGCAACTTCTTACTTGTTTTTATAAACCAGCCATAATATCTCATATCCACGTAGGCCCAGTTGTACAGAAGAAAACTGAAGAGGAAGACGTTGAATGTGAAGATGATTTCTTTTTAGAATATGATCCAGAAAATCCATACAAAGCATTTGATTATGACTTCAGTGAAAATCAACCAGGTATAATGTTACTAACTAATTTCTTACGAGTCTATAGTATTACGTATTGTTCTTTGGGATGGTGTAGAAATTTAGTAAACTCTGAAACTTAGGAAGTAGTTACTAGTTTTCAGATAAGTGAGATTTATTACTTTCTCTACCTTTTGTCCATTTGAGTGTTTCCCAGGTCTATCCAAATTCTAAGTTTAAAACAAATTCTTTTTTTTTTTTTTACTACTTCCTAGAGTTTTGATTTAATGATGGTAGGAATTGAAACTAAGATTGGCTGTTAATGTTTTCAATTCATATCCTGTTTTTATATTTCTATTTTGAAATCCTCAGGTATATCCTGATGTCTCAGGGTTCAGCTTCAGTCTGTGGTCACAAATACAAACACAGTTTTATTGTAAAATTACATTGAGATTGCAGCTCCTGAAATTAAAGCTAATAAAATGTCTTTAAGAGTTTAGTTTTTGTTTCAGCAAATGTGTTCTATAATAGCATCCAACTTATAAATAGGTTGATATGATAATATTAGCTGTGTTTCTGTAAAAATGTATGTTTATTTTTAGTATTTAATAATTTTCATTGTTATCTATTTTCTTAAGTCTTGAAAAAACCATGATAGAACTGAGGGAACATTCATTTGTTGAAGGCGAGCAAATGCCTGTGCCATTTTAGTAGCTTTTAAACAGTATTCTAAAAATGTCAGGTTTTTGAGTGGGGCCCTAGGGCTAGTGAAGGGGAGATGAAGGAGTTGGGGAGAAGATCCAGGGTTCCTACTTGTGCCTCAGCCTCTAAGTAGCTCTCTTTTAATCATTTATATATTTGTGAATTTGACAGACTTTTGGGAAATAAGATCTACCAACTAAAGAAAGAAGGTGAAAATCAGTTATAGTAAATAGCACAATAGGTCCGTAGTTCACGTTGACCTGTATACTGTGTTTGACTTATTACTGGATTAGAACAGTAATCAAAACCAACTCAAGAAGAGAGAGAAGTATTAGAGGAGGACCCAGACTCTTCGTAAACCTAGCTTCTTGTCTTGCATAGCTTTTCTTCCTGAATGAGACAGGTAGGAGCAGCCAGGATGGTTACGTTTCATTTCTTGTGAGGGTTAAGGACTGATTAGTGATTCTTAAACTTATTGAAGATGCACAATAACTGGAAATTATGAGACTTTTAATGGAGTATCAATTGGCTGTAGTACTGATATATTCCATTACTTGTGGCAGGAATAATTTCATTAGAAGATATTATATTATAATTGTACAATAAAAAGTCATAGGTTTTCCAACCCAGAGGTCTGTCAACAGCAGAATGGATATGTAAGTTGTGGAATATTAACAGCTGTCAATCTTTGTTCTTAGGACCCCTTACACTTTTAAAAATTAAATATTATATTGCATACTGTACCAACTTAAATTACTCTAACAGTCCAGGATCTGAGTCCCAAACCTATCACTTTCACTGAGTGACATTGTTAGGTGAAAATCGTAAGTTGGATATTTTTATCTTACATAAAATACATATAGAAGTGTTTTACTTAAAATTTAAATTTAATAGGCAATTATTAATAACTATGTTGGTTTAAATTTGACATTTAATTTACATTTATTTCCAAGTTCCCTTCCCCCTTTGCCAATTTTTCAGTAGTTGACTGCAAAATTTTTTTTAAAAATTAATTAATTCTTTAAATTTGCAGAAATAAAAGAATTACCTCCAATTGATCATGGCATTCCTATCACAGACCGAAGAAGTACTTTTCAGGCACACTTGGCTCCAGTAGTTTGTCCTAAACAGGTAAAGTTACTATGTCTAGCTTACTTGGACATTGTTTTACTAAAGTAATCTGAGTAAATGATTTTGTAATAATAATAATAATAATACCCTATTTTTTACGCTTAGGTTAAATTTTCATGTAAGTTAAAAATTATCAGCTGGGTGTGGTAGCATATGTTTGTAGGCACAGCACTGTGGGAGGCTGAGGCAGGAGGATTACAAGTGCAAGTCCAGCCTGATCAGTTTAGTGGTTTATCAAGAGATGCTGTCTCAGAATAAAAAATAAAAATGGGCTGGGGCTGTAGTTCAGTGCAAAGGCCCTGAGTTCAATCCCCTTTATTGAAAAAAAATTAACCATTCATTTTCCAACTTCTAGGTTACTGTGAGTCATGAAGGATTGTTGTTTGTGTCAGTGCTTTCAAAATTGTATCTAAACTCTGGTTGGGGCTCAACTCTTCAGTGCATCTTCACAATGGACTTGTGTTATGGTAGGGACCTGTGATATTTAATAGCTGGTTAAAGAGAATTGTTTGTCCTGTTGAGTGGGAGTTGTGTGAAACGAAGTCCATTCTGCAGAGAGCACAGTGGACAGATGAGTGAGCCGGGTCTTGCCTGCCTGAATTGCTCTTCACTTCTGCTTCCTGGTTTTCAGTGACTTTATTCCCACTGAAGGATGTAAATGGAATACATGAAAAACTCTATTCCTAGGTCTTTGCCTTTCTTCTTTTCTTCTTTCAGTCTTCTTTCAGTTTAGCCCAGGCTAAACTTTACTGATGCCTGAGGAAGTTACATTTCTATATGCAAAGTTAAATAATGTTTTTTAAAAATCTCATTATTTACCACAAGTTTTAGGGATTAGTATTGTATCTTTGCTGCTATCCTACCCTCTAAACCTTTTTTTTTCTTCTTTCATTTGCAGTGCTGGGGATCAAACCCAGGACCTTACACATGCTAGGCTAGCCCTCTACTACTGAGCTGAGCTACATCCCTAGCCCTGTGAGCTCTGTTAAAGCCCTGACCCTTAGGAATACAGTACTTTGTACTAGGCTTTTCATTCCTAGTCTCTGGGGCAGGTGGTTCTTTTCATAAGACTTGGTAGGACCACAGTGTTTGGTGCAAGTGTCTGGTCTTGCTGGAATTCACTTTTGTCCTAGGCCTTGTTCATTTGCCAAGGTCCTTCTTAGAGATTCTGTTTTGAATCTATTCATCCTGAATTCTCTGTTTTTGATCATAGTCATTTAAGACTGTTTGAGAGATACAGTAAATCTCACAAGCCACTGTTTACTTTATTGATCAGGAATCTACGAACCTGAAAGGTTAAAAAAATGATGAACACAAGGCTGCATGATTTATGAATCCACATTGGTCTAGATTCCAGCTCAGTTTTCTATAGTGCCAGTACTTCTTCCATACTCCTTGCCTGTTACAGCCTTTCTGAAAATCTGATCGCATTTCTGTCTTTTCTCCCCTGTTCTCCCTCACACATATAATCTTTGTTTATTTTCATTGTCTACAAAATAAAATCTAGATTTACACAGTGTTTGTGATACAGTCCTAGCTTATCATTCCTGGTGCATCTTCTCTCATCTCACTCATAGATTAGAGCCCCATAAAACTTCCTGAACCTTCTTCTTTTGTCACTCCTCGGGTTGTCAGATAAAATACAGTATATTTAGTAAAATTTGAATTTCAGATAAATATTCTAGCAGACACATTTGTATTTATTTTTATGCATTTATTTTATATTTGTGTTTACTTATATTGATACATACTTGTTGTTTATCTGAACTTCAAATTTGACTGAATGTCCTTTACTTTTATTTGCTAAATCTGGTCACCATAGTCCCTGCATTTGCACATGC